AAAACTTTGTAACATTGCATCAAAACAGCAAGACACACTCATTTAAACCAGTCAGGCAGGGTTGGTAGGGTTAGTTTTAAAATGTAATCTGATACAATTATAAGTTACCTGTACATTACCTGTAATGTAATCAGTAACATAATCCAAGTATCATAATTTTAAAGTAATGTAACTTGATTACTTTCAAGTACTTTTGGAAGACAAGAGAAAAGAAATGTCAATAAAATGACTTTTACATATTCAATAATGCAACGGAACTATTTTACAAACGACTTTTAGCATCAACTATGTGTCCTCTGCTCTGTTCATTTTAAAAGTAAAACTAGATTTTTAAGAAGCAAATCCAGGCTGTTAGTCTATTTTCACAGCTGTAGGGGAGAACTTGCACTCTACTGTGATGTTGTTCTTTTCTTGCTTTAAAGGCAAGATAATGGTAAAATTTACACCCAGTGAAAGCATTTTTTTCACTAGAAACATTTTTATTGGCACCTTTAAGATTAGCAATGGTTTCATTTTAGACCAGAGTGGTGCTGGTAAATCTGGTGTCAATCTGCTGTTTTACAAAAATAAGAAACTATCCAATGATGAGAACATGCAGAAAATGGCTGTTGCATTTTTGGTTAACAATGTTGGTTAGTGCTAACCGTGATGACAAACACATTGCATTTCCTGTGGATGCTAGATATAATAAAAGCTACACCGTCTTAAACACTTTTAATATAAAGCAGTGGCAACATCTGTTAGCATTAGCAGTAACTTAATACATGTCAAGAAAGTGAAAAATAAGCAGTAAGGCAATTAGATAGCTGTGTTTAATCGTATGCACGCATCATTTTCTTGAATCCTTTGGGCTTAGGCAGGCAATCTGAATGCTGCTCAGGAGTGCCACACTAACACCATTACTATCACTATCACTATCACTACCTCTGAGCTGGGGAAAAAAATTGCACTCCTACACTCAAAATTCAAGGCAACGATGTACTATTTATTCAATATTGAACATTGTGAGGCTACATATGGTAGGACTAACACAATGTAAAGCATTGTGCAAAACAGTGTAAAACATCCAAGCTAACACAAAGTGGAATATCAATCACCTTTAGTTCTGAGCTCCTGTGGTTTCAGGTGCTCCGACTGTTACAACAAAGAGAATAGTTTGAACACAACTGAAAGGTTAAAGTTTCAGTTGAAAGTTTCGCGCCCAGTAACACACAGCAGCAGCCTAGCTTATCCAAGATACACACAGTTATCAGCGAGATGCTGGAAAGAAACTGCAGCATGTTTACAGTTGGACTGACAAGATTTAAAGACGACATGCTATCATGAGGTAACACAGACAAAAAGAGAGCAGCGGTTTACCTCTTAACTCTGCTCTCATCTTCTATCCGGTGTTGTTCTCATGCAGAACGAGGGTCACGTGACGGACGAAAGCAGTCGAAAGCTTCTTTTTTTTCAAGTTCAACATTCTGCACACAAATGCAGTTTTTTTTTGTTAAAGTGGGACCTATTATGCTAATTTCCAGCATTATATTATTAGTCTAAATCTTAATTCACTCTTCAAAAACATCCTTATTTATCGTATACTGGCCTTCTTGCAGGCAAGTTCATGTTCTATCTGAAACAAACCGTATATTTAAACCCCTTCAGAGTTCCCTAAATATATAGCCTTAGTTAATTGTTGTTAGCGGTAAGCTACTTTAGCCGCTAACTAGCTGCTGCTGTTAGTTAGTTATCCTATTAGGTGACTCTGCCCAGACTGGGAGCTCAGAGCACTGGGGTCGGTGTTTAACAAAAACCTTGTCAGCATTTGATTATACCAGGTACATTAGCTTGGAAGATAATGTGTCTGTGTGTATGAAAATGTGTTTTTGAACATTAAAGTATGTTAACCCCCAAATACAAGTATGAACCTGAAAATGATGCTAACAGTGATGACAACACATTGTGTTTCCTGTGTGACCCTGTGTTGAATATTTATACTATGAAGCGGCAGCAGGGGGGTTATCTGTTAGCAGTAACTTTATTACAGCTCTAAGACAACAATAAGCAGTGAGCCTGTTACCGTATCGCAATAAAGATAGGTATACAATCTAAATCCAGCATGGGGGGAGTTTAGTGGACGCATCCACTATTCTGAGAGATGTAAAAAAAACACTTTTCACTCCTACACTCAGTCAGAACTCTCATTAACATCAACACAGCGATGTACCTTCAAGGATTTGGCCAAGCAAAATAATCTTTTACATCGAAAACACCAGTATGGTTTCTCTCCAGTGTGCAACACAGGGTGTTGATTGTAACTACTTAAGGGACCAAATCTTTTCCCACATTTTCAACATTGATATGGTTTCTCTCCAGTGTGGGTACGCTGCGTGTCTGTTATAATCACTAGACTCAGTAAATTGTTTTTCACAGTGGTACAGGTGGATAGGCTTCTCCCCAGTGTGGAAAGTAAGTGTCTTCTTGTAGTGACTTGTGCGAAAAACTCTTTCCCACATTCGTTCCACACATAGGATATGCTTTTCTCCAGTGTGCACACGCAGGTGTCTCTTCTAATCACTCAAAAAGCGGAACCTCTTCCCACATTGTTCACAGCGGTGTGTCTTCTCTCCAGTGTGGACTCGCAGATGTGACTTATAATATAATGACTTAAGCGACTAAAAGCCTTTTCACAGACAAAAAGAGACCAGCAGTTTACCTTTTAACTCTGCCCTTCTCCTCATCCTCTATCCGGTGTTCTTGTTCTCTCGAAGGACCGCTACAGCCTGCAAGGCGAGGGTCACTTGACAGACGTTTTCTCCAACCAATCTTTATTATCAAAGTTCAATATTCCACATAGAAATGCAAATATAGGGGGATGTATAACACACACACACAAATAAAATAAATATAAAAATCATAATAATAATAAACAATAGTTATCGATGGACTGTGGTAGGGACTTGGATAATGAATAGAGGGTCGCTGGCCCAAAAAAGGTTGAGAAACACTAATACACAGCAATGTAATGGATTTAAAACATATCACACAAGAAAATTGTAACATTTGTTTTACATTTTTATTAAAACAGCATTTTTGACTAAGAATTTTAAGCCTATGGAAAAAATTAATGTAATGTATGGACGTTAAAGATCCAGCATTCCAGATGTGGATAGGCAAGCAGCACCACAACACATGGACACATGTTTTGACATCTGGTCAGTTGGCTGAGTTGTGCACAAAAATAAAAACAATGTTTCTCAGGGCTGTGGAGGATCTGTCTGCATTTGTGGTCCGGGGATACTGGAGTGAAACACACCATATTCTGATTTGCAATGAGTTATGAACGTTGTGACAAGTTGTTTTACAAATGTGACTTAAAGATGAGTGTTTTTCGATAGTAGGTAAGGTATGTGTATGAAAATAAATAGATGTGTATACAAGTACTTATGTACATACAAAATCTTCTTTAGCTCAGTGTTTCCTCTGACACCACATGACTGCACTTTCCTGCTTAGGGCTCTCCTTCACAGTTAGAACAGTGTAAAATTATCAGGAATGTATTTGGTGGCTGTTGATGTCACTTATGAGGAATATTGCCAGTATGTAATGACTGTAGTACATGCCTTAATGAGGGAGAATGCCCCCTGGTGTTAGTATGGTCCTACGACATTCAAGAAAAATCAACACTGTAGTAGAAATCAAAACTTTGTATTTATGACGGACCGCTGTAATCACCTCCATAATCCCTCCCTGTCAATATAAATCTGGTGTCAGTCTGTACCTGTATGTTACACTAACATACAAATGACAATTTCTATGGGAATTCTGAGTAATGACCATTAATGTATGCTCACATTAGGGGTTAACATCACATTACAACTGTTGAATGAATGGCACACTGAAGGAATAAACATCTTAGAGTTTCGAGGAAATGTTTATTTTACAAAAAGGATATCCTAGCAGTTTAACAACATTGTGAACAGATGATTGTGAAGTAGATCTATAATTAAATTTTTATGTTTTGAACAAATATCTTTGAAAATTAATTTAAACTTGTAATGCTTACAATCCATTAACAGTACAATAGTGCAAACTCATACGGCTACATTTAAATAGCGACAGCGATGGCAGCAGGTTACCATGCAAGGAGCTGGCCTGACCAACAAGAGCCATTTGGGGTTTAGTGTATATGTTGACAAGAGGCGCTGGGGATCGACCCTACGATTAGTATAAGGCATGCTCCATCTACTGAGCCACAGCCACACCTACATAAGGAAATCGGTCAGTAACAACTGCAACCACATTCTGACTTCATGCTGTGTACAGTAGGAGTAGTTTTTCACACAGCAGGGCACAGGGAAGTTGGTCAACTTGCTGAGACGTGCAGCCTATTGCATGTAGACCATCATCCCACAGCTCATTGTTCAATTCCTTCAAAAGGTTACAAAAACATATCTGGTAACATGCAGAAAATGGTTGTGTATTGGTAAGAATCTGGCAATATGTTACATATTGTGATACAGGGGGTATGATTCAATATATTGCTTTTTCCCATGATATAAAGAGCACACCACCATATGCTATAGTGTGTTATATAGCCTTTGTTGTGTGTGTAAAACGTCTGCAAAGTTACAAAGCCCAAAGTCCATGCCGAAGAAAGTTACAGTCTGTCAGAAAACACTGCCCTTTAACATACTTGTGTATGTCACAATGTAACACAGCACCACCTCCAGCTAGGTGACCGTCCTGCCCACTAAATCTACCATACCCTACCATTATTATTTAACTCCAGTAAACAGGTAGGTGTCAAAGGTACGAAAAAAAGGGCCAATTTCTGTTTTGTTGACTGCAAGAACCAACAAACTATTCTGTGTGCTGTGTAAAAACCACTCCAACAATAAGCAGTGAGCCTGTTA